AAATCTAGAATTTATGTTTTTTCTCTTAAATCTGGAATGAATATGGCTTTTCGTAAGTTTATTTTTAAAATTAAATAGTAATTTATATCATGTTTTATAATCAAATATTTTCAACTTTAATTTTTATCAAAAGATGAATATGATGATACAATAATTATAGACAAAATCTACTTTATTGCTTATGACGCTGGAGAACGTCTGCTTATTATATCACACAACCAGTTTGATGATGAACCCACTACTCACTTAATGGATCCATTTTCGCTTAGAATTCGTGTTCCTGCAACAAAACTATTTGAAACTGACGTGGAAATTCAAGATCCCTACATAATCAAATTCGATAATGTTATCGGAATAATAAATCAAGAGGTGGCAATTTATAGTGGGCTTGTTCGAAAGGATTGGATAAAATATCTACGGGAGGAACTTGGAGATTATAATAGGATATTTGTACTTTCTGATTCTAAATTTATTACGGAAATGATTAATGAAGAATTAGCTGATAAAATAAATAAAAATTTCACAAAAACATTATTTACAACGGAAAAGGACATACGTCATTATGACGGCAGTTATTTGAAATGGAATTTATATTTTACGCCCAATGATAAACCCAAATCCGTTCCTAAAATTGAACTTGAAGCCTTATTCTATGATAAAGATAAAGCTAAGTGGATACCAGTAGAGGGAGAATTTAAAAGAATCATAAACCCTAATTTCCCACCTCCAGAGCATACGAGAAAACTTAAAATTATACGATGCGAATGTCTTAAAAATGATGATTTACTCATGTTAACTACACTTGGGATTTTGATTTGGACTGTTTATCAACAAAAAGGAATTAGATTACATTATTATTGGGGGAGAGGAAAGATTAGAAATGAAAAATCTTTTAATTTAGAAAAAACTTTCCTCGAAAAAACTTTTCTCAACTTAGAATCATATACCAACACATTTCCTGATTCAAAATTTCAAATTATAATCAAAAATAAAACCTTGAAATTTGGCAGTGTCGGCGAAGGACCAAAATCTTTTTTTTTTAGAGAATTACTAGAAGACTATATCTCTGACAAATTTTTCATAATCAATTATGGCTCAATATTAATGGAAACCTTTTTATTTCTAAAAGAAGACGAGTGGATTGAGAAATTGTGTAAAGAGTGCTATAATTTAATTTTCTCAACCGATGGTCTTAAATCTACCTCAGATATTCAATTATTATCCATCATAGTTAAAGTCTTACCTCAATTATTAAAAAGGCATCCAATTTATTTAGCTAAATTTTTATCTCAAACTGCATTTACATTGCCGGTAACTGATCATGAAATGATGTTAGATAGTGATATTATTAAAATATCGTCTACTCCGCATCTACACCATTTTGGAACTTATAATAATTTAACAAAAAATCCTTTATTTGATGATTTTATGTCGAAAATGTCAAAAAGTTATTGGAACAAATTATTTGGTGAAGAATTTGAGGAATTTATTGATGGATCTGATGAAACTCGTTCAGATGAATATGATGACACTCGTTCAGGTGCTGAAGCTAAAATCAAATTTATTATTCCTCTTCCAAACATATAGCACTTGGAATGAATTACTCAATCCGATCCCCAGTTATTTTATAAGTTTTGATGATTTATCATTTTACAATACCTGGAATAGTGAAGCGATTATTAATTTTAAATGGAATGCTTTTGGTAGAAAATACTATCTAGCAATTTGGGCAATATATACAGTATTTTGTTGTAGCTTTATTACCGTTGTCACTTTATCTAATAATATTTCTTGGAATTATCAATTTTTTTTTCTTTGCATTGCTATTATTTTTGGTTTTTGGCATCTATTTTTTGAAATTCGTCAATTTGCTTACTCACCTCTAGGCTATCTTTTAAGTACTTGGAATTATATAGGTAAATGCATTATTATAATGATTATTGATTTATATATACTTATATAATATTTTAACTTTAATAGATCTTCTTGCAATAATATCTACTATATTGACATCTATTTATTGGTTAATTAATGGAGCTGTTTCAATTTGGGCCATTACTTTTTCAATTTTATTTCTCGAATTAAAATTTATTCTTTTTTTTCGTCTTATACCATTTTTGGGAAATTATTTTGCTCTGATTATGAAAACAGTGGACAAAGTATTATCTTTTTTAATAATTTTTGGACTTATCATACTAGCATTTGCACACACATTATACCTCTTGTTACAATCTACATCTAAAGTATCTCAAACATCTTATGGTATTTGATTAATTTGGATTAATTAGATTGGCTTGACGCTGAATTTAATAAGAATAATATTTACAAAACTTAATTATCTCGTGAACTATTGATCAGGATTATATGATATTGTTATCATTCGATTCGTTTCATTGAGACGAATCAAATAACATCAATATCATGCAATTCTAATCGATAGCTTATGAGATATTATTTTTTGTAAATATTATTTTTTTATTAAATTATTATTATATATTTATAAATAAAACTCATCAAATTTATCACTATATATATATATATAAATTCAAATACAAATGTGTTCAAACAATTTGGTTCAGGTAATGTATATCTATTGTATTATTACATTAAATTATATTTAAATTATAGTATTTACTTAACATGAATATTTATTATATTAGGAGATTTAACTCCTATTTCATTATGGATTTCAAATGACAATATTGTAGTAATGATATTAATAATTTTATTTTCATTTTTCATATTGATTTACTTAATGAATTTATTTATTGGAATACTTGGTAATTTAATTACTGATACAGATAATCATATTGCTTATTTGGCTTTAAAAAGAGAGGTATGTTTTTTAATTTTATTTATAATGCTTTCAAATTTTGTGGTTACTATTACAAAGAAATATAAAATTCTTTGGTATCTTTTATGAATAAAACTTAATAACTTATCTGGAAATAATAATTTTAGGATTTTTATCTATTAATTTTTTATAATTATTTTTATTACTATATTAAAACTAATAGCTAATTTTACAAAATAAAAAAAATTAATCATTTTTTATTTATAAAAATTTTGCTATTATTTTTAGTAATAGTACCAAAAAAAATTGAAATATAATAATTTTTATTTTTAGATAAGTTAATGAAATCTGTTTATAATAAAATACAATTTTAAAATTTTTATAATTATCAAATAGTTTTAGTAATTTGAAAGTATTATAAATAATTTATATTATACTTTATTTAGGTTATTATCAAAATTGAATTATTTTATTTATTGCCTTATCAAAAAAGAAAATATAATTGGTTTCCAAATATTTTGTAAATGTTAAAGTAAGGCCATGCAAAATTAATTATAGTCATCCCTCAATATAGTCACCTCCCATACAATCACACTATAAATAATCACATTTATGTTTAGGCCAAACTATGATTTAATTTATAAGAAAAAAACCTCCATATAAGCACAATCTCTATATAAGCACATTTTGAGAAAAATTTACTAAATGCCCAACTGTGCGATTGTATGGAAGGACGACTGTAATTGGTTTTCATAACCCAGCTGGGTAAAATTTGAAATCTTGTAAAAAAAAATTTTTTATATATTTTAATAACCGGGTAGACTTTTTAAAAAAAATTTAAAAAAATTTTATAAAATTTTTATATATGAAATTTAAAAAAAAAAGCCGGCCGGTCGGGTCTGTTTAAAAGTTTCATGTTATAAAAACTAAGATATTAAATTTGTGCGGCCTAATATAATTATTAAAAATTTATTTATTAATTTTTATTATTTTATTATAAAAGTATCTATCAAGCTAGTATTGGAGAATTGCAAAAATTAATTCTTAAAATTCAAACAGGTAGTTGGAATAAATATAAAAAACCAGTTTTTTTAAAAATTTTGTTAAAAGCTATACAAGCTGAAGGAGTTAAAGTATAGATTATAAAGTTAAATTGTTAAAAATTAAACAATTAGATAATAGAATATTAATTAATATTTTATTTTATAAAATATTATATTTTCTTTTAATTGGTTAATTATATAAATTAAATTATCCTTAATCTGTAGGCTTTTCCAGGTAAATTTGTCTAGAAAATTATTATAAATATACTTATGATCTATATTTTTTAAATTTAAATAAAATTTTTTAATAATATTTGAAAATAAGAATTATATTATCTTTTAAACCGTCTGGTTTAGCATATATATTTGTATGCTAAAATATTTTAGGCCACACAAAGTTGATTTTTCGTTTTGCATTACCCGCCAACCCAAATTTTTCAAAAACTTGGATTTTTTTTTTTTTTTTTTTTTTATAATTTGTTTTAAAACAAGGTTAAAAATGTTTATTTTAATAATT